GAAAAGTCTCATCATGCAAAAGCCCAAGGACCCCAAAACCCCAAAACCCCATGTGATTGAATTTTAAGCTCATAAATAAATTAATCTTTACAATGATATATTCTGAGTTAGTGGAAGACAATAAGTAATTCTTAGATTTTCAAGTTCATTATTTTTCAGATGAAACTCCTCCAGATACATTCTGTATTTGTTTGAGATAGAGCGTAGGATTTCTTATCCTAATGAAAGGAGGTGCAAGCATATAATAAATGTGCTGCCCATCATCCCCAAAGACACCCCAATACTCAGTAACTCTTCTTAGTTAGTATCTTAGCATCATTTCATTCATATTTACTAAATTATTGAGATAAGCGTGCAACCCTTTGGGAGAGTCAAGAGACTAAGCATCAAATCTCATTTCGATAAAGTCTTCAGGATTAGTTCCTATCACGAAGTTAATGTCTGACCAATCTGATAGAAGATATCTCTTAACAAGTCCAACAATCTCTGGGAGATGTTATTTATTGACACTCTTCATGTTTTAAGAATTATGAGCAGGCTTGAATTCCCCATATAGGATCTTAGAATCACTAAGCCATTTTTCTCTTAGAATCTCAAACTTAGTTGCTTCGTATGGATCATCTTCTCCATAGAATGTAGAAGCTGCCTGCATATCAGGTCCACTTGTACTCTAAAATGCAGAGATATGCTTTGGCAGTAGTTGAATGTTTGGCTAAGAGTAAAATGGAACCTTGCCATGAACCTCTAGCTGCTTATCTCTACCCTCCTAATTACCTTTTCTTTATGATTCCAAAAATAATCCAAATGGTTCTGGCTTCCAATCAAATTTAGAGAAGTAACCTCCTGCATAGGACAGCTCAACATAGGTCTTAACATGTGCTCCTCTGTTTTCCATTGGACCATATAAATTCCCTTCGATCTTTTGCTGCTATGTCATCAATACATTGCCAGGATTAATTTCATGTGGTAAATCTCTCAAACTGATGAAGTTTCCAATTCTAAAACCTTATCTAATTCGTTCTTGCTCTTTATTAGTATACTCATAAAGCATTGACGCTAAATTTGGTACTTCATAGTGAGGGCCAATCGGATCTCCCTGTCTATAAGATTAATTTGAATTATCATAAGGCTCTTTAGATGATGAAGTAAAGACTTTTGTAAACTCTGATAATTTTTAAGCATTGTTATAGGAGTTATTGGCAACTGCTGAAGACATTTTTATGAATTTTATTCCTAATTTATTGTAAAGTCTTGATATTTATTTTTAATATTACTTTGAGGGGTTTTGGGGTTTTGGGGTTTTGGGG